TTTGAAAGGGAAGTCGAGCTGTTTGACATAAGTTGAACAAGGAAGACTCGTAACGGTAAGAAGTTAGGGTTTCACCTCAAGTTTAGCATTTCAAATGAGGGTTTCAAGCCAGGGTTAGGCTTTTAAGTTGAGCCAACACGATGATTTCTTGCGCCGTCATTTTGCCGACCCCAGTTTGTGCGCACGTGGAGAGATGTGGGAGTGAGCATTCAGACCGCGGATCACGTTGCCGTGTTGTGACATCCCGTGACGGAAGACGCTTTGACGGACGCGTCGTGACGCCGGGCCCCCCCTTCGGCGCATCTCGCCGGAGCCATCCGGCATCTCGGCGCCATTTCCAGTACTCGGCTTCTGTCAGCGTGTCACGCTCCATACATGACATGAGCTCCACATCGGGCCTTTTGACCCCCAAGTATGAAAATAGCGTGCAAGGTAGCTGAGCGGACGGTGATAGTGATGCACAAAGACAACTGGACTTTTTCTTTGTGTGCTCACTTACACTTCAGTGCGCTTGACCGACTCGCCGTTTGGGATGGTGATACTCACCGTCGGCTGTCGGCCAATCCGAGGACGGCGTTGCTGTTAAGCTCCACAAAGCGCGTTCAAAATCCGGATTCGGGTGTAGGGAACGAGTGATGATGATAAAGATAACGATTCCCTTTTTGCTAATTTTGGATGTCATTAGGAATAGTACGTCATTTTGAACTACGGGAATCTGCAGGATTTTCCATAAAAAATTCCCATGAACTTCAGCAAAAAAAATGGAACAAGCGTCGGCTTCTAACTAGAAAAACTCCAGCGATGTCATTCATCCAGCACAGTATGTGCAACTATAGTCACAGGAACAAGGAAATGGTCTTTCAGCTTTTATCTTTACGTATAAATTTCTTGAGAATTTCCCGAGACAACTCTGTCCTTCGCTTCCTCTGGTCCATGTTTTGCTGGTACACACCGTGCCACCAAACAGCTCAGTGACTATTAGCCATCGTTTAAATTGGACAAGTTTGACATCTGTGATGCTAATTAGAGGACACCGTTGTTGAACATGTTTCTACAGTGTTCCAGCGGTACCGCCAACCATTTCCACACCTGTTTCATGAGTTTGTTTTTTAAAATAATTTTGTTGAACCACTATTAGAATTCTGTGTACTATTCAAATATTCAAATGTCTACTTATCATTGTTTAATTCTTAGTACATTTTTATTTATTATGACTTTATTATTGTCAGATGCTTGTGATTTTTTTTTGTTTGTTTTTTTGTGACAACTGTGGGGTTTTTCTTCCACTAACAATTTTGTCTAAGTCAATGTGCTGAATAGTTGACAAGTGGGGATGTTGTGATATCTGCCATGAAGTAACCGTCCAAAATTGGATGTATTACTCATAGTGTCAATGTCATCAAACTCTGCGTTTATGTGTCATAATTTACAGTGACAGCAGTTGACGTTGAGCCTCTTAGCGTTGTTTCTAGGACTTGATTTTTTGTGAGATAAAGAGTCGGGACTGCGGCTGCGACCCTTGTTTGTCATTGGCTCGGCCTGTTTATCAAAGACAAAAGACGGTGACTAACAAACGTTGACGGAACAATGCGGAGCGCCCCCGCACCTCCTTCACCTCAAGGCTAAGCTACCCTAGCCCGCAGTGGGCCGCCCCTGTCAAAACTCTGAACCTGCTGCCGGATTGACCTTCCAGTCAACAGTCGCCACCGGCTAGCGGAGCGCCGTGCAAACAATCAAGGCCAAAATACAAAATGTTCCACCAGTGCTCACATTTGCTGCCGTTATGATGCTGCAACCATATAATTACGTGGTCCACTCCATGCAACACAGAAACTCAGTGATACTGATTATCCTTAAGAGAGTAGTCTGTTGTAATAACTCAAACATAAATATACACATGAAATATGCTTCACATCTGTGTTGCATGGTTTACTCCAGTTGCGCAACACGGCGAATGCAGAAATCCAACCCTGAGCCCCGCGCTCTGAATTCACCGCGACTTTTCCGACAAGTTGAGTGTGAAATTTGTCGGCGAGTCTCCAGAAAGCCTTTTCGACACGTGCGGGGAAGATTAGGAGCCACTCCAGCAGCCTTTGGGGGCCGCTCGCTAAAAACTGTTAACTTTGCATTTCAAATCACCCGGGTGGAGGATTCATCCTTCTCTTTTTTTAAACCTTTAGGAAAAAGCCCCAGAGGAAGGGAGCTCTGCATCTTTTTTGTTTTTGATGCATCATAAAACTTTGTTCTTTACTCACACAATGCATGGATGCTTTGCACTGTCGGCTTCAAATGTTCGTCCGAGCGTTCGCTGTTGGAGCCTTGTTTAAACCGTGAGGTGCCTGGGAGGCCGCTCTCTTCACATCAAGGCAAAACACATCTGAAATTTTATGACCGACCCCCCCCCCAAAACATTTTTTTTCAAGCTCCAGATTGGAGAATCTGTCGTGTACAAGCATATTTGTTTTGTACGGCTAGGTGATTGTGCCATAGTTTTATCAAACCAACTCAAGATTCCTGATAGCGTGTTTTGTCTTTTTTGCGCGTGATCGTATGAGCTTTGCGTCAAAGTAGCCGCTCGGGCGGACATGCTATCTGCGTGGGCGTATCCCAAAAAAAAAATGTATCCCGCTTGGCAGAGCGACTAATGGTACGCATTTGATTAGTTTCATCACATTCCGCTGGCATAATTGGTAGAAAATCTACCATGGCGGCGTAATTATTTTGGAGGGGCCCCTCGATTTGCATTAGCCGCGGCCGCGCTAACTTAACGCTAGCTCTGGAGGCCTAAAGAGATTAATGAATAATCGGCACTCTTTAAAAGCCATGAAACATTTAAATGAAGTAATGTCTCTTCCTAAAGGGCAGAGTGGAAATTTCTCCCATACATATGCAGATAAACCCTTGATTTTTTTCCCCCTCTTTTAATGAACATCAGCGTTAATCAGCCAGCCAAAAATCAGACTGGAAGCACGGCATGTTTTTGGTAACTTCCTCAGGGGCCACCCCTCTGACGTGGAGATTAGCTGGGATTCAAACAAACAAGCCGCATGCAGCTTAGATGCTAACTAACAACTTTACGCTCATGTTGTTGCTAGCTTCCTCATAGCAAGATGCTGAAGATGCAGTTAGTGTCATGTGGCAGGGGAATTCCCAAATAATAAAAACGGAATTTAAATGTAAGATCTGAGAAGTTGCCGTTGACACGGACATTTTAGGAGTTACATTTTTTTTTTTATTTGTTTTGTTTATTCTAGGTGACTGTGACATTCTTGCTCCACAGCATTGTGTGCGTCCTTGTTTATGTTCCAGGAAGCCACAGAATTTATTAGATCCACCCATTCTGCTTTGGTTCTCTCTGTTTTGCTGCATTTCTCCATCAGAGTAAATTATTTCCCAATAGACTGTGATATGCGGTTGCGCCGCAATGTTGTGGGCTTCTTTGTTTATGTCACAGCGAGCTCGGCGCTTGATTGGTTCCACGCCGATTCTTGATTTTTCTTACAGTTTGAAGCGACCGTTTCTCACAAATCCAGTGAAACATCAAAAACCAAAGCAGACTGGGCGGAAATATGTCACAGAGCTCGAAGGACGCGAGCATGAAGACACACAACAATGTGGAGGGACTTGTTTTTCAGTTGAAATGGACTGCAGTGAGTGCACAGAGTAAATTCCAAAGTATCTTGACAGCAGCCACACACAATGTACAGCTAATGGGCGGAGAGAAGGACGGCGGACCGGGATAAATGGTTGCGCAGGCTGGAAACGTCACATAGCACTTGTGCTGACTTGGGCAGCTCGGACGGGAAAAGACGCTAAATCACAGAGATTTGCGACGCTCTCCGCCTTTCCTGGGAAGAGTTGCGGCGGCCGGACGCCGGCTTTCAAGGCCGCGAAAATAATAACATCTCAATCACGGGGCGTCAGGGCTAAAGTAGCTGTGGTGTCAGTCTTAATTGTTTTCCGCCCAACGCCACTTATCGGTGTCAGACCACGCAGCCCGTCTAAAAAGGGTCTGTCATTAACCTTGGACGGCCTTATTAGGTTAGCGCCTCAAGACAAAAAAAAAAAAAAAGTCAATTACTACAAGTTACTGCACAAGGAGAAAAAAAGAGACGAGCGACGCTTCAAGACCTTTGGTACTCCACCAGACGTCTGCTGAACCAGGGCAATTGTTGCAACATGTTGCTCTCGACAGGGGAAAACGTCAAGTACCAACTTGGAGCCGCACAACATTGTGAAGCAACGACATTTCATCATCGACTGGGAAACGTTGACGATTATGTATAAATTCAAGTCGAGAAATGAGGCACACTTGGCAGAATTAATCAGTGGCATTGCTCCAGTGTAGATGGATGCACTCAATATTGTAAAGTGACCATGTCAGGGTCTAATGGCGGGGGAAGTGTGAGGGTGTAAATTATAGAGAAAAACAGCAAAGACCAAGGCAGACTGGGCTGGATTCATAAAGTGTCGAGTCACTGAACGTAAACATGGACGCATACGACATTGTGTCGTGATTGCATGAATTACTAGTTCTGCCTGGTTGCCTTCGGTTCTCGATTGTTTCACTTTATTTCACTATAATAGTCAACCAAAAAAATATGGCGTAGATTTTGACTGGTGGTCGCTCCACAGTATCGTGCGTTACTATATTTATGTTCCAGGGAGCAACAAGACTTGATTCCCCCCGCTCGGTTTCTCTGTCGTCGTTAGTTTTTCCCAGCAGACTCCCCCATGTGATGTCTGCACAATACCGTGTCTCGCCATGTTTATGGTCCGCGCGGCTCCATAACTTAAGTTCCACCCTTTCCGCCTTGGTTCTTGACGTGCCTATTTCATGACAGGATGACGTTGTTGCTCCACACTGGTGTGTGTGTGTCCTTGTTTATAGTTTTGGGGAGCTACTGGATATGACTTAATAGTTCTTCCCAGTTTCCTTTCTGTCATTTGTTTTTCCAGGTACGTATCATTAACCATTGTCTGTAAATGTCGATTCCTAGACCCTTGGCCCTTCTTCGGTGTCCACCCCCAGTGCTCCGGTGACGGGTTACAAGCGCATGGTCATCCCCAATCAGCCGCCGCTGACCGCCACCAAGAAGTCCACGCCCAAAGCCCAGGGCCCGGGCGGGGGTTCGTCCACACTGCCGGCGAAGCTCCAGCCCGTGGCGGCGTCCTACGCCACCGCCTCCACTCCCAGCCAACCCACCTTCAACGTCCAAGTGCGGGCAGCCCAGCCCAGCCCCCAGCACCCCACCGCCGGTGGGCAGCACTTTGGAGGGGGGCCGCAGCCAGCGCGCAGCCCCACCCAGGTGCAGTACATGCCGGCCCAGACCAAAGGGCCCGACTTCGCCTTCGGGCCGCCCCAGCCGGGGTTCTCCCCGGTTGGTCCGGGCGTGTATCAGGAGCAGCAGGCCTACAGGAAAACCGAGCCTCAACCCTATCAGGCGGCGGTCCCCAAGAAGACCTACATTACTGACGTGCCGCAGAGCCTGGACCTCTCCGCTTCTGGACCGGTCATTCCACCGAAGGTAAGAACAGTCCCAGAACACAGCAGTACCTTGACTAGAGGCTACTCCTCAATGTTGTGTGTATCTATTTACCAGAGACCTTATGCAACTTTGTGAATCCCGTGCAGTTTAGCTTTGTTGATTGCCATTTCGTTGTATTTCTCCATTATTCGGTGTGTGTGTGTGTGTGTGTGTGTGTGTGTGTGTGTGTGTGTGTGTGTGTGTGTGTGTGTGTGTGTGTGTTATATGGCA